TCTCTCAACTATACCAATGAAAGGCGCTGTCTCATGTATCGCTGAAAGACGAACAAATTCAACGCAAAAAATTCATTACTATATGTATACTTTAACTCTCAGGAAATGAGGGATTTTGTCGCCTTTTCTCGTTTTTAATTTTTTTTTCTGAATCCGTTTTTTTTTTATACCTAAATTTGAAAATTTGCAAAATTTGCCGCCCCCTAAAATGCCGCCATGGGCCCGCGGCCCATGGCGCCTTGATACAACTCTACAACCTCGACGGATGTCTGTATTGCGTTCAAATAATTGAAGGCGTTTTGACCTCCACGGCATGATACATGTAGTTGATTCGATCGACAAACGCATTGGTCTGTGGTGACGGGGACTTGATGCATTTTTATAAACTTCATATCCGTATCAAGGTCCGTATCGCAGCGACTGAACTGCGAAACTACGTATCTCCATTGCGGCGTTTCAAAATTTCCGTCCTTAATTCATCTCTTCCATGAGAAACAATCCAAATTTACCACTTTAAATTTTCAACCAAATCTTCTGCTATCGAATACGAATAATCATGGAGAATTTAAGTTTAATGTTGACCAGCTGCTCGATAGAAAAATAAAATTTCTAAGGAAGTCTGCAACGTCCCAGAAGGAGAAACGTCGTCTCTCATATTGGCCAAAAATATGTATGTATAAAATTGAAGGCATTATGACTGGCCCCTCCCAATTGATATTCGTATGTAACGATAAACAATGGGACGCGTTTGCTACGGCGCCTTGATACAACTATACAACCTCGACGGATGTCCGTATTGCGTTCAAAAAATTGAAGGCGTTTTGACCTCCTCGGCATAATACCTGTAGTTGATTCGATCGACAAACGCGTTGGTCGGCGGTGATGGGGACTTGATGCATTTTTTTAAACTTGATGGATGTATCCGTATCGCACCGACTAGTCGGGGGACCGGGACGGTCGAGCCGGTACCACCCGCGCACGGATCGTCCCTGCGGTTCGCGGTGAATTTTGACGCAAAGAAAAGGCCTACGGAATTATAGATGGTGAATGAGCAATTTGTATAAACCATGCCATAATGTCCTGTATTGAAAAAATCTCAATAGACCTCCTTGCAATTCTGAAACTCCTTTCCCAAGATTCTCTCTCTTAAAAATAGCCACAGGTAAGTGCATTATGATATTGACAATAATACAACGAAAGACTTTAGACAGACTTAGAAGTATATAAAAAACACAAAATCATCTCTGTTGAAACCTGACAGCCTTAAAACTCTTGAAAGTAAATGCATGACAAGGTCAATGTCATGATGGAAAAATGTCCTTTTCATTTAAATACATCTAATTTAAGCACTACAACACAAGTTTCCTTATTGAAACTTTGTGTGGAATATGATGGGACATTGAAATGTTCTAAATCCAAGTCTTTAAAATATGAAAACGGCATCTTCTGTATTTATTTATTCACTTATTCGTTCATTCATGCATTCATTCAAACCTTCACCTACTGCTCGTTAAAATACCGAAGTCTAAGTATTTGAGGCAAATGGGATACTGAAATAATTTTTGACGCAGGTAAGGGACCTAAGTCCCGAGTGGTAAAATTTTTGGGATTTTTTTTCAAGTTGGGTCAAAAAATTGTGATTTGCATTATGAATAAAATAATCTAGAGTCGTTGAGGACATGTTTTGACTGTTACAAGGGATTCAATTCATTTCTGTGACATTGCAGGGCTTAAAATCCAGCCAGTATATTTGGAGATAAAAATCAAGTATTGTTCATGTCACCACTCATCAATGGTGCCATCTGACTGCATGCATTAGCCTGTCAAGTGGTGTTGATTCACAGCTAATCAGAGATTGACATTTGTCTCGGCAGACAATGAGTCTGTTCTAAAATTGCATCATAATCGAGTGATTTTGTCTTTTAGACATAGTAAATTGGTATTATATACAAATAGCACGATCTATTTCAACTTAGAACATTGCACCTTTGGCTTGCTACTGCAGTTAAAACCTATCAGAATCTAAGAACATTATTTTTGGCAATCACTTTATTCCTTCTTCAACACCATTGTTTTTTCTTTTTCTTTTTGGAGGGGGGGGGGTTGAGAAATTAAAAACTTAATCAGAGGAGAATAGTTCAATAAAATTGTATTTATATTTTTAATCACAAAATTACAAAAACTGTGATAAAATAATGAAGGCACACCACACAGAAAAATGGAGGGTCAACTGCTTAAAAAGTTGATTAACAACGGGAGAAAAATTGATACTGCATGATGCATTCTGGATATGATAATTTAAAATTGTCAGGATTGAATGAATAGAAATTCGTCAATTCCAGTACTTCCAAAAATAAATAAATAGACTTGCTCACACACCTGACCCTTTATGATTGATTGGAATATAAATTTACGCGCTTTCAGACTGCAACAGAAGATCCATTATCATGATTCTTGCAATTATTTTCCATGCTAAAATGGCGTCACGCAATCTTCTGTCACAGTCTAAAAGTGTGTAAACTTATTTGGCGTGGACTCTCACTTCGAATCTGAAGGCACAGTATACATATTATGAATTACAAGATTAATTATCTTATTTTGTTCATGCTGCTCAATCAGAGAGGGAACCAAACAATATACAAAAAAACAGACAATCATAAAAATAAAAATTCTAAAACCAACAGTGCACTAGAGCGTTAAGCCTGACAAACTACTGATTTGAGAGATATCATGCTCGGAATGTTGACTTGCCATTGATACATCCGACAAATGTGGAACAGAATATTTCTCGATTACGTCAAAATTTTGCTCGCTCTGTTTTATTTCAGTGACTGGGTCTTGTTTCATCTCTGTGATGAGCATTCGGATACTATCGATTAGATTATTAGCAGTCAGATTCTTTTTCTGGTCCGTGCTGGAAGTTCGGTTACCACTCTTTAGAGCCGTTGAGTTGATCAAATCACTGTTCATGACATGCCAGCCGGAAGGCACAGAGTTTCGGTAGCAAGTTGAGGATTTTGAAGTTAGGTTGTTTGATTCCGGGGTAGGGTTTGGAGGTTTCTGCTGAACGCTTTCTACTGAGATCACAGATAAGTTGACATTAGACGGAACTGCATCTTTTTTCATGCTGGTGTTCACTAACTGATCTGCCACAAATTCCTGAACTTCCCTGAAAAGTTAAGATATTGTTTAGCAATTAGTCTACGTGCTCTTTTTCTTTTAAAAACATGAGAGAAGGAATCTAATCTTAGCGCCGACACACCCACTACATACAGTAAAAGCTCGCTAAATCAAAGTACGGTTAAGACAAAATGCCGCTTGAGTCAAATTTTTTTTCCATCCCTAGATAAAACTACGTGTGAAGTGGAGAATCCCTTAAGACTAATTGCCGTTTAAGTCGAATTTTTTGTTGGTCCCTACACAATTCGACTTATCAAGCTTTCACTGTACTTGAAAGAGTGGTTTGCAAACATTTAAGTACAAAGAAGAGCCAATTATTTTGACCCAAACCTAAGTGACGATGGTGTGAAGCGAGTGGTTTTAAAATATACTTCCATGAAGAAAGCTATTTTAAGTACTGATATGAATTTTGGGATCAAAATTTTTAGATTGTTCAGCAATTTTATACTCTACGGGCGGAGGCGCAGTAATGTACTACACCACTTGCAACTTGCTTTTCAAAAGACTAAAGTGGGCTTTTAATGGAAAATCCAGATTCTCATTTTCCAACTGCACTTATTAAAAATGAGCTCCTTAAAGATATGTCTAAATGCATTCAAGTTGTTTCTTAGGTCGATGCAAATAGAGCTTGAGCATATACCTTGACAGAACTTTTGCAGTTCTACAGGGCTGACTTTTACGATTTATCATTAAAATTCATGATGTCTACGTTGGTCCAAAATTTCTAAACTTCCGGGTCTTTAAACACAAACCATGTTATAGTTTCTCAAAGTGACTTTCCTCGCCTCAAAATGAGGAGAGTATTATCACATTTGCCATCGGAGAAGAAAAGACTCTGTTTTCGACATTTGGCTTAGTGTTCATCCTCCGAATTTCATCATGGTTTTTTCTTATCTTTCTTACTTCTGGTAAAATGGCTTTTTTAAGATCTCCACACTAATTACTCCAAATTTTATGACAGACATTTTATCCATTTGTTATCTGTTCAATGCACGACTGGATACAATAAAAAACAGTGGCCATTAGATCATTTCACTGTTTACTTACTGTCGTAGTCTCAGGGATATGCAAGAAAAACTTTTTCTCTGCATTGAATTTTTCGGAGCTGATCTTACTTGCTTTTGTATTTTCGACCAAACGGTACACATAGAAATGTTCTAAACCTTCCACATGCTCCAGGTAACCTTAAAACTTTTGGGCAGGACCGAGATTGTGCCCTAAAAAGAGAGGATAGGAGAGGAAAGGATGGTACTGCAGAATTGCTATGTCAATTCAAAAACGAAATTTCCCAACTTATCGACCGATGTTATGTAAATTTTCTGACTACCCCCAAACTCATGACAGGAGATGAGTTGACAGATGAATGGACATACATTCCTAAAATGGAGCCCAAAATTTTAGAACACAACCCTCTCTTCACACACACTCACAAATTCTTCCTCACACTTTTTTTCTAAATTATTTTGATTGTAATCTTGCTTTCAAATATGAGGGTTTACATTGAGCGAATCTTTGGTTCCTGCTTCATGTTGAAAAGTTACATTGATGAAAGTACCGTACAAGGTCCTGCTTACCTGGAACATAATTAATTTAAGCAACCAATGTGATTTGTAAGTGTTGCGATTTTTTTCGTATGATAATTTTACCAAAATAATAGGTGAGCCATTATGAAAAATGGATTGAAGAAGAAAACACTCCTCTATGCCTTGGTATCAGAGAGTAAATTTTAAATCGTTGTTAACTAGGATCTTTATTCCCATTGATAAACACACTCAAAGATAAAGCATGGGCTGTGGTACAAAATTGGATCACTCACCCAAAATCTCGTTTGAGTTTTTTCAGCTCTTCGTCTCTGCTTGCCAGAAGGAGGGCCAGTTTCTCACGTTCCAAGTTGCTGATTTGAAGCTCTGATTTTATCTGTTCGTTTTCTTGATTTGTCTCGCGAACTCTTGTGTTGAGTTTCTTGTGCAGGTCTTTTAGTGCAGATACGACCTTAGAAGAGACATAGAATTAACATGAAAGGAGTGAAGAAGAAAATATAAATGAGGTCAAAATGAAAGAGAGCGGGGGAAAATAACATCATCAGGGATGTGCAAATGCAGGACTTCAGTTTTTCTTCATCAATTTTGTGCTTTTTCTATATCGTTTAGTTGAAAAAGTGCGAAAGCTCTCTCTCTCTCTCAGAGTTTGGCTAAAAATCAGGAAGAAACAAGTTTTTTTTTCTTCTTCTTTTAAAAGCTAGGAATGAAAGTTTAAATCGACCCGGTCTGAATCTCAGAAATATAAAATATTAAGGCAATGAATTAATGAATCATATTATTAGTTAATCTAAAATTTACAACAGGTTGATGAATATGTAGTTTCTTGTTTTTTTTAGAATTTTTATTTCAGGAGCTTGCGTATTTTTGAGGATGATCGATTAAGTAATTTTTTGTGTTGTTTTAGAACAGTGTAGTTACAACCAGCCAATCAAAACAAACTTCTCAACTATGTACAAACTGGGTAATTTTTTAAAAACAAAAGAGCGTATGGATCGAGTCTCAAGTCACATTTGGGAAAAAATGAGTTGAGTGCAATTTCCAAGGAACTTGGTCGAACATTTTCTCCTGTCAAAATTCAAAACCAAGATGAAACACTTTTCACATTAGAACAGTCATTAAACTGCACTGAGTTTTATGGCGTTATAAAACTGCGAAACCTTTTTTTCTCAATTCAAACTTGAAGCAACTTAATGCGATTCTGTTGACCTCAATTTATTTTACCTGCAACTTGCAGGTGGAATTTGTCTTTTTCCTTCCTATTTACATGTTTTTAAAACAGTTTCTGTCAAAAAAGACTGAGATGAATCCGTACAAAAATTTCACTGATTTTTGAGGAGGACGAATTCAATTTTTTGCTTCTTCAATTGACACAGAAGCTGAGAATCGCTACAAGTAAATGTCTGGATTCTTAAATTTTACTTCTTGATGAGTTTTTACATAACTTGACACTTACTTTATTTTCTTCTTGGAGCTGATTTAAAACAACGTTCAGATTTTCTATCGATCTTGTGTGCTCATCAGCTTTTGCAGTCATATTTACAAGATTCTGCTTGAGGTCATTGATGGTTGCAATGTATCCTGATTCTTTTTTCAGTAATTCTTCATAAGCTTTCTTCTTTATTTGTAACTCACTGAGGACATACAACAAACACAAATTTAAAAAAAACCCTAAGTCAAAGACATAAAAGTGAAAAAATGGTTGAAAGGAAGAGCATATAGACAAAGATGCACACTCAGCTAGGTCAACTTCCTCAGTTCTTCACTGCAGAGCTCTCCAGCGACTTTTTCACAAACCTTTTGAAGAAATAACATTCATTTTTCATTTGAAAAATGAGACATTAAAGAATATTTGCTATGTCGCAAGTGGAAGGACATTTTTTCTAATTTAGTCATCTGTGCATGAAACAATTACTATTTAAAAATTATTACAACTATAAACTTAATTGCCAGCAGCTAGAAAAAAGGTGCTCTCAGATCCGGTAAATTTAAAAATGTGAGATATCAGCAGACTATGCAAATTGTGTGTTACCAAGTAAAATTTGGATATTTCTGATGAGTTCAACGTCAGTTTTGCGCAATGTTGCCTACTCAGAGTTTATTTAGTTGGTTGCATATCTGGTATGCAACAGGCACTTTGTTCTAATTTTTTCTGTTACATTACAATGAGCAATGATATTTGTATATTTATGTGATGTCTCCAGAATGCTTCGGGACGGTGCTACCAAATATTGGTTCTTGACTGACAGGACAGAGAGTCATAAGGACAATACTTACGTTTTAAAATAGTCTCTTTCTTTCTTTAACTCACTGCAAGCTTTCTCCATCTCTTGACACGCTTTTTCCAATTTAGAGCAGCTAAGTTCCAGTTTCAACTGCAAGTTTTCGTTGGAGGGTCTTTCTCCACATTCGCTCAACCGCTTTTGCGTTTCCTACGATTAAAAAATAGAAATGAAAAAGTATGCTTTGTGAGTAAATGTGCTGGTTTTTGTTGTGAGCGGAAAATTCAAATTTCTCGTGACCAGTGCTACATAAAAATATCTTGGCAAGGAGGTAATGTCAGTACCTAATTTCTATTGCAGGTTTTTTGCATAAAATTGTGAAGAGGAAACAAGTATGAGAATGCTGGAATTCGTACCTTGTCTAGTGGTCCATTGTTTGTTCCCCAGAGGAGAAGGCAACATTAAAAATCTGTTCTTCACAAACTTTTAACAACTATTTTTTATGATCATTTTCTAGAGCTGCCTACTTGAACAAAATTTAGGAACCTTGGGATCCTGTCCCAACTTAGAAGAAATTTTTTTTATCCCTCCCTTAAAATTTTGATTGGGAGGTTTTTTTTACACCATCCTTTCTACTTCCCTCCTTAGTAAGTCCTTTAATTGATGATTTTGGGATCGTTCAATAACTTGTCTCCAATTTCAAAGAAAAGGAAACAATTTTGCTTAGCTTGAGCTTAAAAAGAAAGCAAAGGTAAAAAATGAAAAATGAATGAAAGAAATGACCAAACTAATACTAACCTCAACCGCTGAGGTGAATTTGGAGAGTTTTTGAGGGGGCTCTACCTCACAGGGCACACTATGAACATTGTCAGTAGCTGACATGGAGAAATTTTTCAAATTAGTCGGAATTCGTTGGAGGGTTTCTTCCATTTCAACCAAAATCCGTTTGACATCATTGTCCGCTATGAGAACACCAAACAATAAAAAAGGAATAATTCATTATTAAAATTAATGATCTAAAACCCAAAATTATCCTTTGGCTTTGAGATCGTACGGCTAACTTCAAACTGTTTTTTGTTCACAGAGATTATTCAAAAAAAGAAGCGACTTCCTGCTCAGACATCAAATTCAAAGTTGGGAAGCATCTACTGAAAGACAGTTCTTACATTCTCACTTATATTAATATAAATAATTCAGTCCATCTTAAGGAACTTAAAGGATTTTTTCAGAAATTGTTAGGGTCCTACATTTTGGCAGTGAAACTACCAGACCACGTACCTATTCCGTTTTCAGTGCTGAAAAATTTCCGCTCCCATTTTATTTATTTGAAGGAGAACAAATCAAAATCATTTCTGGAAATTTTCACACTTTTCTCAACAGTGCAAAAAAAAAAAAAAAAAAACACGGAAGTTTTCATGAATTGACACTGATTGCGGTTTTCCATTCAGAAAATAAAGTATGACAAGAAGTCTGCGATACCGAGATATAAGTCTGGTAATTTCACCGTTTTTTTGTATAATCTTGTCATTATTTTCTAATATTTTTCATTCAGTGGAGGGACATGTGGATGGACCTGAATCAATCAGAATTTGCCAACCAGCACTTTTTTCACCATTAAAGATTAAACATTTTCCACAAGTGAGTCATTAAGATTGTACGCTGTTAAGTGCTGGTAACAAATATCTCTATGCAGACTGAGACAACAACGTACAGAACTTTGGACCCTCAAAAATTTCTCCTGTGGACATTTTCACAAGTCTGAGCAGGTGTGTGGCCAAAGGTTTTTTGCACCTCTAAACTGAGGCACTCATGTTGAAAAACTGGTGAATAGAATGTTTTTGATAATTGTGTTCTATTTGGTATTGGATGCTAGGCATAAGCCAAACTGAGGAGAATTTCTTACTTTGGATTGAAATTGAGTCTCTATTAAATATAGGTTCTAAAAACTAGACAAGGTGAAGACACATACAACAGGAAAAAGAAGATTTGTGAATACTTACAAAGCATGTAAATTTTCCCCTCCAATTCTTCCAAAAGAAAATGTAAAGTGCGGACTGGGTTAAATATAGAAAATGTGCTGCCACCCTTCTCACCACTCTGTGCTCGAAACCGGTCTTGGTTCATCACCTAGAAAAAAGGACGCCTGAGTAAATATTTATTCAGAATAATACATATGAAACAAACACATATTAAACACTAGGTACTTACAAAAACGGTGCAAAGAAGCAAAAACCTTGTAAGGCACAAGTAGTAAGTAGAAAATAATTTTTTAAATCTCAGCAACAGAAACCTCTTTTGGTGATTGCCTCCACTAGGTACCTAGATAACGCTGTCAAGCAATAAATAATAAAACAAGTGACTAAATTTGAACCCTAATTGATGCGGCAATAGAGAAGAAATTAATGAGTACCAATAGAAAAGAAAAATACCTGCATAGATTCTGCAAGAGTCTTGATTTTTCCAGAGAGCTCAGAAAAAGTGGGACCAGTGTCTCGTTCCGGTTTATCACACAGCATGCATTGATTCAGGTCTGTATCGGATTCTGAGTTTTTCCTCCCTCTGTTCTGTTCCCGTAAAATGTTGGACCATGGTTTCGGTTTTTCAGGAACTCGAGTTTTTACCGATTTGGACCTCACTGATCCTGCAGGAGGGCATCGTGCTTTCGGCAGTCGTGGTGGATTATTTTTATTGCCAGAAACTACTCTTGTACCTGCAAATATTTTGTAATTTTCCAAATTTTTTGATGTTCCAGAATTTAGAGATGCTTGATTTGATGGTCTCCTGTCACTTGTTACAGATGTTCTCCCTCCCTTGTCATACCTTGTCCGGATATCGGTAGTTGATTTGTGCCCGACACTGGTGCACGTCTTGCTTGGAATACTTTTAGGAACTGCAGTGCTGTTGGGCACACTTCGCCCTCTTTTGTTCTCTGGCTGGGAAGTGCATAATCTTCGAACTCGGTGTTGACATGAATTTTCGTTGGGCTCTCGGGCGCTGACTTTCAGGGCCTCGTCAATAAGTTGATGACACTTAGCAATGTTATTGCCTAGCAGTTGCAAATTTGAGTCAAATGCTGTGTTTGCCATGATAAAGGAACTTTATCTTTTAGGAGAATCATGAGTATTACACACAGACATTGTGAATACCTGTCATCTGAGAAGGTTGCATAATTTGAAGTTGCACAAGTAAAGAAACAGAGATTAGATTTCACAGAGTGATAAAACTGCTCAAACCTTCGAACCACATAAAGTAAGAAATACACTCGTCTAATGGAAACGAGAGGTCAGTTAAGTTGAAATGCACAAACGGACGTTAGTGAAATTTTTCAATTTTTTTTGTTTATTTACAAATACATAACCTCACAAATTTGCAGCATGATAAACAACGGTGGCTCTCATCATAAAACAGAAGATTCTTTCCCGCCAAAAGTTCCCGCCTCCTACTGTGATTGGAGCTTGCAATCAAAGATATTCTTGCAATCCCGATGTTCGTAATTCTCC